ATTAAACTTTCTAAAACTCTCTTAATATCCCCATTGCCAATTTTATCATTGTAGTAGAAACTCTATGCTAAATACCAAATTTTAAGATCAAAACATATACTCTTTTATTATAGAAGCGACTCCCCCATCACTAATTAGAACTCTAGCCTTTTCAAATAAAAAAATATTTTTCTTTAGAAATTTTATCACTACCTAAGCATCAGGTCTAGGGGTTACAAATCCCTCAATCTATTTAAAAATATAATTCATAGCTATAAATATATACTTACGTCCTTGAGCTTGCATAAATAATACCATAAAATCTAATCCCAAAACATCAAAAATCTCTACTACCAATTCATAATTTAGAAGCATTACATTTCTCTTAGTGATGTTATATACCCTCTAACGCCAATCATATTTCTTAACATAAGCATTGATATCATTAAATAAAATAGGCTAATAAAATCCAGATTGAATGAACTTAGAAGCAATTCTAAATCCTTTGAAATGCCCTCCACAATCTAAGTCATGACACTCCTTAATAATGGGTTCAACTTCCTCTTGGAGACACACCTCCTAATGATTTGATCATTACACTTTTTAAAAGGATATGGCTCATCCCAAAAGAAAAAATTTGAATTATGCAAAAAAATCCACATTCATGTGTGTGACAAATCAAATAGGATGACTCCGCTCACAATATAGTTCACTATATCAACATACCAAGGTAAATCAACATAATGCAATACAAACAAATATTCATCTTGGAAGAATTTATTTATGTCAAACTCATGAAATGCATATTCTTTCAGCTCTAGCCTAGATAAATGATCAGCCACGTAGTTCTCAATTCCCTTCATATCAAGGATTTTTACATCAAACTATTGTAACAAAAGAACCACCAATCTAGGCTCGGCATCTTTTCTTTTTATAAGATATTTGATAGTAGAATAATTAGTGTATACAAGAAACTTAGTGCCTATAAAATATGATCTGAATTTGTGAAAGACAAAGATAATAGCTAGTAGTTTTTTTTTTTAGTGGTAGTGTAATTATATTGGGTTGCATTCAAAGTTTTTCTAGCATAAAATATGCATGAAATTTCTTGTCTTTTCTTTGACCTAACACAACTCTAACAGCATAATCACTTGCATCACACATTAACTCAAAATATAATGTCCAATTAGGTGCAACAATGATAGGAGCTATGATCAAATGATGATTCAAACTGTTAAAAAAATTAAGACATGCATCATTAAATTTAAATGAGACATCCTTTTCAAGAAAATGAAAAGGATTTGGTTATTTTGAAAAAATCTCTAATTAATCTCTTATAGAACATGGCATGTCCTAAGAAACTTCTAATTTCTTTCATATAAGTGGGTAGTGGTAAATTTTCAATGACTTGCACCATATCCCTATCAACCTTTAAACCTTTCTTGAAAATCTTATGTCCTAATATTATGCCCTCTGCTACCATGAATTGACATTTCTCTCAGTTTAACACCAAATTTATTTCTACACATCTTTTTAAAATGATGGTCAAATTATCCATGCAAGAATCAAATATGATGTCAAATATAGAAAAATTACCCATAAAACCTCATTGCCCTACTTAATCAAATTGAAAGAAATAGACATCATGCATCGTTGAAAAGTAGCAGGGGCTTTATAAAGCCTAAAAGGCATCCTCCTAAAAGCAAATATCTCATGAGGACTAATAAAGGTAGTCTTATCCTAATCTGCAAGTTCTATGGAAATATTATGGTAACCTGATTACCTATTTAGGGAATAATAAACGGAGTGCTATTTCAATCTATCTAACATCTAATCAATAAAGCTAAGGGGAAAATGTTCTTTCTTAATTGCCTTATTCATATTTGTATAGTCAATATAGATTCTCTACCTAGCATTGTCCTAGTAGGAATCAATTCATTATGCTTACTGGACACTATAATTAAGCCTCCTTTCTAACAGATATAATGTATAGGACTCATCCAAGCACTTTAGAGATAGGGCAAATAACTCATACATCTAGCCATTTAAGTATCTCCTTCTTCAATACCTTTTTCATGGCAGTGTTCAAACTTATTTGGGGATCAACTTTTAGAAGGAAATGTTCTTCCATCAAAACATTGTGCATGCATAATAATGAAATAGTCCCTTAATACTTGCAATTATCCAACCAAAAGATCTCTTATGCTTACTAAGAACCCACCCTAATTAACTTGCCTTCTTATTCTTCAACTAACTCTCCTAGCCTTCTCTTCTTATTTAGGATACACTTCATGAACTTAGAGTATGTAGACCATCTACTATAAGGATTTACCAAATGGGATATTAAGTGTTAACTTCTTACAAACTTCCAAAAACCTTGAAAACTACTTATCCAAATTAACCTTTGGGGAAATTATGGGGGTGGCCTCTATATAACTATTTTAATGGGTTTTTCGATATCTTTATTAGTCACAAGTCTCTCCTTAGGTTGGGGTATCTCTACAAGCTATTATATAAATGACTCCTCTTAGGCTTAATCCTTATCCTTATTTCCATCTCATGGCTCCTTCCCAGTCCTCAATCGGATGGATTTGCATTGCTCCTTGCCCCTTTCCTTAAGATTCACTTTAATAGCATTTCAAATTGATGTTAAGAGCGGTTCCAAGCTCCTTGAGGGTGGATTTGATTATAATTTCATTGATTACCCATGTATCATTATTGTTCCATATAAAATATTGGTGGTTCCTCCAATCAAAATAGCAAGTGTTCGGGTAGGGGTTGTTTTATCTATTAATGGCATTTAAGGTTTCTACCCTTGAGGCATTAGGATCACTAGATGAACCAAAAAAGAGTCTATTTTATAGGCATAGGTGATCTTGGGGATGAACAAATGCTAAGGTTATCCAACTTCCTAAAAATAGTTGCTACTTGGGCTGTCAAGATAGACAATGCATCAAACTCATAAGCACTTGCTACTTTCCTAGGACTCATCTTAATTGACGGCTATTGAATGTTATTAGTATTCATCCCCTAGATTAAAGTGTTTACTTCATCAAAGGGTTTAAAGATCAATGACCCTCCAATGGACGCATTTATTGACCTTAGGAATCCTAACAAACCATCATATAAAGTATGGATAATCAACCAATCAGACAAGGAAGAGAGGGTACATTGCATAAGCAACTCTTTAAATTGTTCCCAAACTTCATAGACTGACTCTCCATTGAATTGGGTGAAGAAAGTAATGTCATTCGTAAGCTTTGCAATTTTTGACGGAGGAAAATACTTTGCTAAACTTGTGAGCTAGATCATTCAATGTGGTGATTAAGCATGGGAGTAAGGAGTTCAACCATATCTTATGTCACAATCCAACCTCATAAGACCCACGAATTAAATAAGTCATATGGTGTTGAGCTGTAATAAGCGAATCTCAAGATCAAGTTTTAGAATTGTTTTAAATTTCTTCTTCAAATTTAAACTTTAAAAAAATAATAATAATAATAATAATAAAATACAGAGCTGCTAACACATCTAGTACATAAGAATACCTCATACACAAACTTCTTTGCATTTTAGCGTCATCTAAATGTCAGTTCAAAGCATACAGTACAATACATGACTACATAACTTAAAATAAAGCAAAACATAAAAAAAGTTTGTCATGATTGTACAAAAAAATCAAAAGAAGAAAACATATACATAATCGATCAGATCCTAAATTGCTAATCAATAGGCTCCTTCCCTTTCTCAGACCCTGAAAACATGAAGCAAAATATTTGTGAGCTACTTAATAAATGCAAGAAAAAAATAGGGAAAAAATATTTGTGAGTTATATAGTTTAGCAAACTACATTTAAACCAATCTAAATTTTCATTTCATCTATAGAATATGCAACTAAATTTTAAAATATATTTCATAATAATCATTTCCTTGATAAAAACATACTTTAACTTGCAATATGGAGAAATAAATAAACAAACACTTCATATTTTTTTAGCAAAGTAATAGAATTCCTTCTTATAACTCCTAATGGCAATACCAAAAAAAAAATATGTTTATAGCACCAAAATATGCTCATATGCACTAGAATATAGCTTATAGCTATCAGAATATACCTTACAGACACTAAAATATGACTTATAGGCATCAGAGCATGCATTACAAGAACCAGAATAACTTGCTTCTTTCAAACCAAATATCCTCATAACTTCTTATTTCAACCTATAAAACACAAAAAATTAATTACATAGTAACAATTAAAACATAAATAAATTCATTCAAAATTTTCACAAAATATCATAATAGGCAAAAGAAATCCTAATAAAGAGAAATACAATTTTTTAAAATTTAACCAAATTACCATATATTGTAGAGAATATTATTTTATGACTTCAATTGTACTACAATATTATTTTTTTTCGAGTCTGAATTATTTCGTATTCTATAAAAATAACATAATTCCCAAAATTTTTGGTTTATAATTTTTAGAAAAAACATCTAAATGTTCAAAGTTAATTGTCTTTACAACTTACATAAAGTTATTCATTGAAATTTCAAGTTTGAGGAAAAAAATTCTTATTTGCGATAATAAAAAATAGCATAATTCCCAAAAGTTAATTTAATTTCAAAATTTTATAATTTCAATATTGGATCATAATTCGCACTACATTAGATTAATATTTTTATAACAAGACTCTAATTATGAGAATTATTATTAATATATTTAAATTGAAAATTCTATAATATAATAAGTCTTGATTTTACTCCTATTATTTCTCATTTTCACTAAAGTCCATAATATAATAAGTGCATTGTTAATTTAATGTACACATTTTAATTTAAAAGAAATATATATATACATTAGTGTATATTTAATGGTGTGCCTAATACACACTAACATGCTCTCATAACCATCATATGGCCAAAGACAAATTTCCAAGGGAGAAAAAATAGAATGGAATGTATCAGAACTTGCATAAATTAACCAAACATACAACTTATAGTTAAATCAAAACAAGAGATTTTTGCAAGCTTTGTTAATTATAAGAAGATAAACAAATTGAAGCAATAATCTTCATATAGCTTTCCCAACAGCAGCTTCCAAGAATCTAAAATCAGATAAATAAAAAACTTTCAACATAATAATGGTCTTAAGAGTTCCAGGAACAGCAATGAAATCCATAAGCTCACCATCAAAACATTTCATAGAGAGGTACAGTGATATATACTATAACTTCAAATTACAATTCTGTTTTCGAAGTCCTAAACCTCATCTCATCAGAGCTCAAACAATACGCCTAATCAGAAAATCATTTCCACCCTCACATTTGATCTGAAAAATAAATAAATTTGGCTGATCAGATATTGAAAATTGGAAAGAAAGAAAAACATATACCATGTATATAAAGTTTGGCACTTACATCTATGATAAAGGCTGCTGCTTGAGTACGGGGGAACTCCTTGTCTAATCTAGAGAAACCCAAGAGGACGGGGAAATGAAAATAGTGAAGATAAGTAAACAAGAAACTAGCATGAGGGCCAACTAAGGCACTGTTTGGTTTGAAGGAATTGAAAATAAAATGCAAATAAGAACGATAAAAGTAGGGGAGGTCAATAAATCAAGTCGAGCTAGAGCCATCTCTGACTTGAGCTTGACTTTAATCGAGTTTAACCTCGAGAGTTGGGAGAATATCATGCTTATTCAACAATTTATTATAATGACATGATAAAAATAATAATAAATCACTTGAAATAAGAAATAGATAATTTTTTAATATTTTCAACAATCATATACTAAGACTATTGAATTCTATAATAATATTACTCCATTTTATATGAATATTTTTAAAATGAGCCGGCTCATGAGCTCACAAGTTAATTCAGGATTAGCTCAATTTTGATTCATTAGCTTCTTAAGCTCATCTTATGAGTCATTTATTGACTCAAGCTTGAGTTGACTTAACTTAACTAGACCCCTAGATAAATTGAATTACAACTAGATTTTACCCACTTATTTGGTTTAAGGAGAAATTGAGTAAAAAAGCAATTCATCTTTTTTGAATATATGATGAGAATTTAAAACAGTGTTTCTTGTGGAGAGAACAATGTGAATAGCAATGATAGTTTGATAGATTTTTCTTCTAGGCTTTTTTATTAAAGTTGGATTCAGAATTATCAACATAATAAATTAAAAATGAAAGGAATGGCTAGAAATAGTGAAGAAACAAACTAGAGGGCCAATTAAGGCTACGTTTGATTTGAAGGAATTGAAAAGGAGATAATAATAAAAATGATTAAGAAATTGTATTGAAACTAGCTTTTGTTTGGCTGAGAACAAAATTAGTGAAAGAGTAAAGCTCAAACTAATCCTCCGACTATTAGTAAATATCTAATTTAATCTTAGTCTTTCAAGATGACCCAATTTAGTACTCAACAGTTAGAAAATGTCTCAATTCGATTACAATGTTAAAGGTAATAGTTAAAATTAACTTCAACAGTTAACTATGAGGGTATTTTGAGTATTAAAGTGTATGTGAAATTATATTATCTTCTATATATTTTATTATTTATGATAGTAGATAAATACAAAAATTATAATGAAAGTTGGCCTATTAAATAACAAGAGTGGATAATTAATAAACGTGATTAATTTCCATCATTTTTTTTTTATTTATCTTAATATAATAAATGAAAAATATATAAAAATAACAATATAATCTCGCATATACTCTAATACGCAAAATGTCCTCATAGTTAATTATTAGGGTTAACTTTAACAACTAGTTTTGGCATTGGGACTAAATTGAGATATTTTCTAATAATTGAACTCATTATGAAAATTTGGAACTAGATTGAACATTTACTAATAATCTAATTTAAGTTTTTGACTGCTTGATGAGAAATTAATTTCTCAACTTGATAGGATTTGCCTCCCAAGTTTTTCACTGAAGTTAGGTACAGAAATGCAGATAAAAAATATTTTCATAGTTCCTACATAAACCCAATTATCTATTAATAAAATTAAAACAGAATCAAATATGAAATTGAGACGTAAAATGCATTTGCATTTCTCCAATTTCTTCAAACCAAACATTGCCAAAATGTTGTGTAATTTTATCCATGACGATCACATACCTGATAAGCGTCCGTGTTGCTTCCAGATCGATAAAAAGAACCTGAGAATTTACAAGCCGAAAGTATGATAGTATCTAACTATATTCTAAGATAAATCATTTAAAAAAAAAAGTAGAGAAGTACAATCATACCAGTAGAATAACCAACAGGAACAGATTGATGTTGATAATGTAGTGATGAGCTAACCCCACCAGGTGGCATCATAGCGTAACTAAAATAGATGCAACTTTAAATTAAAGCTCATAGAAAGAAATGTACTTAGCTGTAACAAAACGTATTGACAATTTACAAGAAATCAAAAGCAGATAACAATCTTGGTTAAGTAAATCCCAAAATAATTTAAAAAAAAAACTTTTTATATTATCATATCTATGTATAAAGCTTCAAAAAAATATACTACCCATATATTGGGATTTATACTCCCTTGTTTATGAGAAATTTTCTATACAAGTCTTAATTTGACAAATTAAGAATACAAAACAAAAAATTATCCAAATGGATCTCAAAACCATTACATCTGCTTTGAGATGAGAGATATTAAGTACCTATTGATTTCACTCATCTCACCCTGAACAAATTTTTTATCAGGATAACCTGACTTTGTTTTTTTTTTTCATAAATGAAATTTATGTATCATATTTTAGCGTTTATAAGAAATACTCTTCAGCATGGACCATTTTCATATATCAAGAATGAATTTTGATTAAAAATATATATATTTTATCTTTTTAATTAAATAAACAAAATTTTTATTTTAAATTCTAGAATAAAATCCAACAAATACATTTAGTTCAATCTCCATTTAGTACCGATCCTACATTTTACTACGGTAACAATTGATGAGAACTATGATAGACCGGTCCAACCGGTCCAGCCGACCCAACATCAGATCCGACTCCTGGTTTATTCCCTTATGGGGCCCATTCATTGATGGCAAATTCAAATAGACTGGGGAGTTTAGGAGGGAAATTATTCAAGGAATGGTTGTTTAGTACTTATGCTTCATTTGTATTCTCTAAATAGGTGGGAAGGGATTAGGGTTAGGATTATGTGATATCTTTGTTGATTTATGAGTTTCCTCTTTAGGTGTTTGGGCTCTAGCCACCAGTTAGGGATTGAGAGAACTGGATTTTCCTCTCAAATTGAAGATCTATTGTATTTTATTTATTTTTTTCAATGTTTTTATCAATTATCAAGCTCCCTAGTGATTTACCTAGGGATTTATCTCAAAATCCTGCTTGAACTTGTTGATATTTCAAATTTCAGCCAAGGTTTCAACAATTTCTGCATTTGCTTCCAATCAAATTGGTATCAGAGCAATTTCTTGGGCAGAAAAATAAGTTTTTCTTCGTTGTTTTTGCGATCGGAACCCTAGAACCAATTAATGGCAGCAAAGAAGATAGATGCGTTAGAGGGCGAGATGGAACAAGTCAAGGCTTAAGTAGAGGAAAAATATTATGGGGTGGAGAAAAGACTCTCGGCCATCGAGAACCGCTTTGGGAGATGATGAAACTTGAGATGCAATCAAAAGCATCACCAATGATTCTTAGGGTGGAACCACGAGGAAAGGAGATCCAGAGGACAGAGGTGAATTGGAGTGTTTTCCATCAAGGACCGCCACGTCAAACCCCGTTGGTGGAGGGATCGGATTATTCTGAAGGGAAGACAACAGGAGGAAAGAAGCCGACCCCTTTAGGTGGAATGAAAACGGGTTATGGTTGGGGGGAGCATTGGGGTCAAAATAAATCAAGGGAGGAAAGAAGGGAATCACACCACCACTACACCGAGGGAACCAATGGGGAAAAAACCATTGGGGTATGGATGTGAGGGCAATGAAGCTTAAGATGCCAGTTTTTGAAAAGGAGGATACTCAGGGTTGGGTATACCCGGAAGAATGTTATTTTGCCATCAATCGGCTGACTGAAGGGGAGAAACTCATGGCGGCGGGTATATGTTTGGAAAGGAAAGCCCTAGCCTGGTTCCAATGGAGAGAGGCAAGGTATCTGATTTACTTAAGGGGAGAATTTAAGGAGTGCGTGTTGGAAAGTTTCCAAGCCATCCGAGAAGGAGACCACAAGCAGTTCTTTGCTCTAACTTAGGAAGGGGCAGTTATGAAGTACCGGAAGAAGTTTGAGTTGTTGTAAGGGAGACTGAGAGAGATCTCTGAGGAAGGATTGGAGGGGAATTTCATGAAGAGGCATAGGAAGGACATACGGGCTGAACTCATGGTACTGAGTCCTAGGGGGCTGAGAGAGACGATGGAGCTAGCTCAAAGGTGGCGAAAAATTATAAGAGGGGAAAGACCATCAGAAGCAAAACCATGGGAGGGGCCTATCAGAGTACCCCTACAACTATATCTCCCAGAACCCAAACAGTATCCTTCCAAAGAGAAGCTCCTAGGGAGAAGAGCTGTGGAGTTTTCCCGAGAGGGAAACTTCAAGCAACTCATAGAGGCAGAGATACAGGACAAGCGGGCAAAGGGATAATGTTTCAGATGTGATGAAAAGTACACGTCATGGTATAGATGTAAGAACCAAACTCTTCAGGTTGTCCCCACCTGTGATGACGGGGAAGCTGAAGAGGGAAGTGGGAGTGAGACATCAGCAAAGGAGAAAAAGCAGCATTTAGACATGGTTGAGGTCTCGCTGAAGTCAGTGGTGGGGATCACTCCGAATTAAACTATGAAGATGAGAGAAGAAATAGCATAAAAGGAGATAGTGATACTAATAGATAGTGGGGCACATCCACAATTGCATCTCCAACCAAATTGTAGATCAATTGGGGTTGAAACTGGTAAACACAGGATGATATAGGGTGATGATGGGGATAGTGAATATGGAGACATGTAAAGGGTGGTCTTGACCATACATGGGATACAGATGATGGAGGATTTTCTTCCATTGGAGCTGAGAAGTACTAATGTCATCCTGGGGATGAGATGACTGCATACCTTGGGAGATACTAAGGTGAATTGGGGGATGCTAATAAAGGAGTTGATGGTGGAAGGGAGGATGAAGATAGAATTAAGGGAGATATTGGACTCTCCAAAGTCATGGTGCCACTAAAAATCATGGTAAGAGCCATATAGGAGGGAAGAGGATTTCTGGTGAATTTACAAAGATTGGAGGGGATCAAAGGGGAGGAAGGAGGGAACATCCCTCTTTCAGTACAGCCGGTTATACAGCAGTTTCGTGAGGTTTTTCAGACACCTCATGAATTACCACCATAGATGGGATAGGAGCATGCCATCACGCTAAGGGAGAGAGTATCATTGATCAGTGTTAGGCCTTACCGCTGCCCCTAAATCAAGAAGGATGATATTGAAAAGCTAATCCGGGAGAATGTTGAAGGCTGGGATGATCAGACCGAGCGTGAGCCCTTATTCTAGCCCAATTCTACTAGTTAAAAAGAAGATGGAAGTTGACGATTTTCTGTGGACTACCGGGCCCTGAATAAGGAGACAATGCTAGACAAGTTTCCTATTCCAGTGCTAGATAAGCTTCGTGAAGCGACAGTATTCACGAAGGGAAACCTAAAGTTCAGATACCATCATATCCGAATGAGGAAGATGTTCTGAAAATAGCCTTCATGACACACGAGGGACACTATGAGTTCTTGGTGATGTCATTTAGTCTCACCAACACCCCTGCTACCTTCAAGTCCCTCATGAACATGGTGTTTCGACCTTACCTTAGGAAGTTTGTTCTGATTTTCTTTAATGACACCTTGGTGTTTAGCAAGTTCATTGAGGAGCATTTGGAGCATCTACGGGCAGTCTTAGAGGAGTTATAGGAGCATCAGTTGAGGGTCAATTTGAAGAAGTGTTGTTCTGCAAAGGTGAGTGTGGAGCACTTAGGGCACGTGGTATCACAGGAAGGGTTGGCTGCTGATAAGGCCAAGATTAAGGCAATGCTGTAGTAGTTCAAGTTGCAAGTGATTGTGCTGAAGAGGAGCACGCTTACCACCCTCAAACTGATGGGCAAACAGAGGTGGTCAATAGGAGCTTGGATATATATCTGCAATGCTTTGCATGAAAGACACCTCGATTGTGGGCCAAGTGGCTAGCGTGGGTAGAGTACTAGTACAACACTTCATACCATTTGGCATCCAAGATGCTCCTTTCAAAGTGTTGTATGGCAGGGATCCGCCTCACTTGGTACCCTTTGGGCAAAGTAGCACATCAGTCTTTTCAGTGAAGCGGTACTTGGAAAAGCGGGATAGCATACTAGAGGAACTAAAAAGACATTTGTTAGGACTTAGGAACCCAATAAATTATGAAAAGGCAGGCTTATGAGCATAGGAGGGACATTTAGTTTGAGGTAGGGGATAGGATGTATTTGAAGCTTCATCAACACAGGCAGAGGATCGTGGCTAGTATGAAGAATGATAAGCTGGCTTCACGATACCTTATAGCACTTTTGAGATAGCGGAGAGGATCCTCTCCGCAGAGGTATATCAATTGAAGCTACCTCTGACTACAACCATACATCTTGTATTCCACGTGTTAGAGTTGAGGAGAGCTATAGGGAATCACACCTCAATTGCAGAGTTACCAATGACAGTGATAGAGGACTTGGAGGTGATTATCTAACCGCTGGAGTTGGCAGGAGTACAATAAGGGGAGGGAGGAAGTAAGGAAGTGTTGATTATGTAGAAGAACCTACCAAAGTACAAAGCTACTTGGGAGCCATATAAGAAAAAAACAAGAATTTTATGTCTTTCCACCTTAAGGACAAGGTGGTACTTTGGGAGAGGATTTTGATAAACCGGTCCAAGATGGACCAATCCAGCTGGCCAAACACCAAGGATGGCTCCTGGTTTATTCCAGGCAGAACAAGGGAGCAGCCAGCCCCCTTGTGGGCACATGCATTAATTGCAAATTCAAATAGAAGGGGGAGGTTTATGAGGAAAATTATTCAGGGAAGGGTTATTTAGTAATTATGTTTTTATTTGTATCCTCTAAATAGGGGGGAAGGAATTAGGGTTGGGATTATATGATATGTTTACTAATTTCTGAGTTTTCTCCTAGGTGTTTGGGCCCTATCTATCAGCCAGGGATTGGGAGAGCCGGATCTTCCTCTCAAATTGAAGATCCATTGTATCTTGTTATTTTTTCTATGTTTTTATCAATTATCAAGCTCCCTAATGCTTTGCCTAGGGATTTACCTAAAAATCCTGCTCGAACCTTGCTGAAATTTGAATTCAAATTTC